TGTGTGTCCCAGTACTACAAGGCCAGGGGACAGCAGGGTTTCTCAGCAAGAGCCACACTTCATCAGGCGTGTACCATGATGTATGGCATCACCTCTGCCTTTTGGGTGGGTGTCTGGGGAGAGGTGGCCAAAACAGGGCCCTGAAAACTTACAGGCCAAGCTGCAGTCTTGGGGCTTCCCAAGCATCCTGCCCTATTGAAGTCATATTGACTACTATGCTAGAGCTCCTAGCTGCTAAATACTGTACATAGTTGTTTGTAGGATGTTGGACTCAGTGATGAATTCTCTGTTTCAATTTGTTTTCATATTTAAATGCAGTGTTAATAACAATGTGGTGTAATTTATAAATGTTGATGCTGGAAAGGAAAGCAAGTGTAGTTTGTGTATTTTAAACATTTTTTGTACTAAAATATCTTTTCTGAAGATGTCTTTTAATAAAAACAAGCCTTTAAGTGTCCTGCCTGGATTATTTTCCTGATGGTTTATCTGTGGCAGGTGTGTGGGGAGCATTGTGATGGTTCTGCATTTGAAAATTTCCTTTGTTGGAATTGTGACCTGAGCACTCTGCTCTGTTCTTTCTGTAGCCCTATGGAGCTCTGAGATAAATTGCTGCTATAGGGCCCAGCAGCAGGTTTTAATCTGCTTGAAGTTTATGGGCTCCTAAATTTCTTTTCTTCCTGAAAATTAGACTGTGGGACAGCAACTTTGTAAGTGCTGAAGTGTTGGGTTTTCTAATTCCCTGGTGGCAGACCTTTGAATGAAGGGGGGATATTCCTTGGAGGTGGCTGGAAAAGCCTGTGCCAACCCGTTTCAAATGAGCAGAGGCTGAAATCTGGATAATCCAGGCCCAACAAAGTCAGCTGAGCAGGGCAAGCCCCACTAAATAGCATCCTTTTAACTGTTCATAACAAATGTGTGCAGTCATGTTTAAAAGCATTTATTGTAACTTTTGTGGGGTGATTGTAGATGTAGGAATGAAATGAGCTGGGGATGGAGTAGGGGTCTTTAAGGTGATGGGGTAAATTCCAGCAGTGCTCCCAATCCCATCTATGTTTTTTTTCCAGCTCAAATATACTAGAGCTGGAAAAAATCATAGGTGCTTCTCTGGCTGGTCAAGGCAGGAAGAGGAAAACCTGCTTGTTGCAGGAAGAGATGAGACTGGTCTAGTCCCCCAAGCAGCTCTATAAATACCTAATGTACCTAAATGTGGCCCCAGCTCCCACATCTGTCCTGTTTCCCTGGGGGAAATTCCAGGGTTAATGATAGCTCCAAGCACAACTGTGCAAACAACCCATTATGTGCAGCTCTCAGCTCACTCCTGCATTCAGAAATGCATTTTTAATATTCTCTTTGCTTAATTCAAAATGTGCTTAATCCTTGAGTGCAGCAACAGATACTGGAGTGCATATTTTAGTCTGGATGCTAAAGTGATGTGACTGAAGTGGGATTTATGCATCAAATAGAAGCTAGTGAATGAGCTCTTCTGCAATGCCAGGTTTTGGGGTTTTTTTGCAGACTTGGGGTTTGCTCCCCTGTGATGCATTTGATCTACAGGAGGTGCCTGGTGTATGGTGCCAGGCACCATCCAGGGTTTGACAAATGCCAAATGCCCTAAATCTTGCCTGTCCTAGGGATCACAACTACTGCTTTCCTATGTGTCTCAGTCTTTCCTGTTCTGCTGCACAGGTCTCCACATTCCATCAATTATCAGTGCCACCCGTGCCCCAGGGCCATCGGTGCCACACTGGAGCATGTGGCATCCTCGGGCCCAGAAGGCAGCTCTGGGTCTGTTTTCTTCTGAAATCCTTTCTCATTTTTAAGCACTTCAACTGCAGTTGGTGGCAGCATCTCGGAGCTGCCTCGGGGCTCCCTCCAGCGACTGCCGGAGCACAGGGATGCTGCTGCTCCCCAAAGCAGCCGTGATCCCTGCAGGGGATGGCACTGCTGTGCCACCTGGCACTGAAGAGCCCCCAGAAAAACCCCAGTGAGGGCTGCTGTAAGAGCTGCTCCTGAAGGTGGGGATGATGGAAGAGCAAAGGCTGCGGGGTCTGCACAGGGTGGGTGTGGGGTGGGTGTTTGGGGCCAGCAGCACTGTGGGGTAGGCTGGGCTGTGCTGCAGTGTCTCGCACGGAGCTGGAGTGCCCCTCAGAGCCCGGAGCCCTCAGTAGGAGCACACTGACCCGGGACTCTCACAGAGCATCATTAGATCAAGATGAAGTTGTGCATCGGGCACTGACATCTCTAAACAGTGTCTGTGGCCCCAAAAAGTGAGGATGGGCTCGGCCTGCTGCACAGAGCTCCCTCTGAACAGTAACAACAGCCACTGAGAGACATGCCAACAGAGCCTGAAGCTCTTTTTTCATTCTTCAGTAGAAACCAAATCGTTCTTTGGCAAAAATGGAAGGTGTTTGTGTGTACACAGAGCTGCACCAGCTTGGATGGGCAGGTTGAGCCCCTGTATCTATGACACCAAGGTGCTGGAGTGAGTAAGCTAGAGGCATCACCTGAGCCCCCCACCACCAGTGTAGCACCACAGCAGGGGTACAGAACAAATAACCAAAAATTGGTGTTATGAATGGGGTCCCATATGTCCAATTTCATAAATCCCAAGATTGAAATTTAGCAGCAATTTTAATTGGGGTATAAAATAATAATAACACAATCAAATATAATGAAATGGTTACAAAAAGTAATTTGGCAATGGTTTGGATAAAGCATAAGTGAAACCGATTGGGGCACGGGGAGGGCTCCCCACCCTGCCACCCGTACAAAGGGCAAAAGAATCCAAACACAACTTTTACTGTATGCTAATACATATTCATCAATAGTTCCTGTAAATCTCCTCCCATTTTCGATTCTTGAAATCTACATCACTCTGCTGCATGGTGCATGCTCCCATTGTTGCTTTGGGGTCTTCTGGTCTCTTCAGGGGTCTTCTTGGAGGAAGGCCGAAGGTCTTCCTCGCTGTCCTCTGAATGACCTGGCAGGTTGCACATGCACATTGAGCTTGATGCATTTTCTTCCAATTCAGCCTTATTATTTCATAGATAAGACCGCTATTTTAGGTTCCCTATCCGGAATGGTCCAAATTTTATTGATATTCAAGGTTGATCCTGTTCTGGGAGTTGTCTTTTAACTTCAATTGATGCCAATTTTGGTTTGGGAGTCAGTTCCTGACTTCCTCCATTTCCAAGGCCGAATCCAACTCCTGCATCCTGCTTTCCACATGTATTCTTGAAGAAACCGATCTACTTCGTAACACTAATCACATATACTTTTCCAATTGTTTTCCCAAATTATTGCTATGAGTACAACTTATTCAGCATGAATCACATCCATTTATCACGATGGCAAATCCCCACTGAGACCAGAAACACAGCCAAGGAACAGCAAACTGAAAGCAAGAGAAAAGTTCCTCAGCCACCAACAGTCTCCAGGCACCCCCAGCCCAGCACTCAGCCTCACCAGCACTAGCAAGGGTCACACTTTCAAAGTCATCCCCTGGCTCCCAGTGCCTCAGGGTGCCTGGCAGACACAAGGCTGCCAGGAGTCTCCCATTCCTCCCATTGAGCACAAATTGAATTTCTGTGGACGTGCCTGGCAGAACTTTGCAGCTGCACCTTTACCAGGGACACGTCCCATGCAGTGTTATGGGGCGGCTCCTGGAAGGTGCTCACGAACTCCCAGGGGTTCAGATTCCATTAAGAGGGTGGGAAGGGGAAATCCTGGCTCAAGCATCCCAGGCAGGTGGCTGTGTCTCTAGGACACTACAGGGGTTGTGGCTCTCAGGATGAGCTTCAGCATCTCAGGTGACCATTTTGAGCAAATTTTTATCACATTAGAAAAAGAAGCAATTGGCATAGACATGACAGCTCTTCAAGGTGTGGGCCCCAGAAGAGTTTAACAAAGTATTTGGGGCTAGCAGGAGGAGCACAGGCAGTGCAGGTGGCTCAGTGTGCAGCTGCAGTGGGAGCTGCAGGGTGTGCTTGGGGTGTGTGGAGAGTCACGGGCCGGGGATGCCTCTGGAGTCACTGGAGATGTTGCTGTGAAGGGGCTTCGGTCCCAACAGTGAAAGTCTGGAGCAATGCCACTGGGATGCCCAGAGTGGCATCAGACCGGTCAGAAAGAAAAGTTTCCTTAATAGTTTGTCGATCCAGGTGGGACCCACAAGCCACCACCTTTGGAGTCTTCCTTCTCCAAGCACCCAAATGCTGCTACCAGGTGAGTTCACCTGCATCTTTGGAGCAGGGAGAAGCCTGAGTGTAGCTGTTCAAATTCCCTGAGCACATTCAATATAAATGCTAAGGGTGGACCTGGGCCCCTCTGTTGGGGCATTATTTTGCTCAGATTTGGTGACTCTTGCAGGGATTGGAGCTCCCTGGGAGGCACACAGAAGGCCGTAAAGTATATTCTTTTTAGCGTGTAAAAAGGTGGTTCGAGTCCCTTTTAGTGCTTGAAAAGGCAGGAAAGAAGCATGGACAAGAAGCTGCCCTTGGCCGAGACAGTGCAGAAGAATCCCACGCTGTACCGCTGTCCCCGGCGGGGACTGTGGGTGCTCGGTGGGTCAGGCTGAGCTGGGCTCGGAGGAAAAATGCTGAAGGAGAGTGGTTGAAGCGTTTTAAAAGATACAGTGGGAACCTATTAAAAATTGTGTGCTAGAAACAGTATTTAGGTTTGGTGAATCCTTCGAGACATTTTAATATAAAACTTGATTAAAAAACAAAAATTGTGGGCTTCTGGAAAGCTTTTGTTCCAGCTCCCAGGAGCGCCGTGTCTCTGGGGCATAAACATCCTTGGAGGGAGCTGCTCCCTCTGGGCCACTGTGCACACGGAGTCTCCTCAAAAAGGGAGATTCAGGTAGATCTGCATCCAGAGGCACCTCAGCTTCCAAATGTGTGCTGCTTGGGTCAGTTTTCCTGGAAAACTTATATTTTTTGTGAATTCAAATTGTAACTATTTGAATGGATTGTTGGGGTGTAAACTAGAAATACCATGGAACATGTTCTCCAGGTGTGTGTCAGCTCACACACCACTTTATTTTTGTATGTATATGAAATTCCCTGTGGATATGAACTTGCTTATAACATTGGTATTTTTGTATATTTCTAAAAGAAGATTTATAAAAGCACATTTTTCTCCATGTACATTTATATTAGGTTAAAGGATGATAAACATACAAGTAATATTTGAAGACTTCCCTCAGTCTTCAAATAATGAGGATAAGGAGGACTGTAGAAGACCTGCTGTGTTCTATCATGAAGGGAGGGAATCACCTGTGACTGGGACTAGTGGCATGTGCAAAGCAGCAGAAAAGCTTCTTACACTAATATTATTTCTATTTCTCTTGGGTTGGAAATGGTGGGTATATTCTATTCCTATCTGGTGGGGCAGTTATCTTCTGTTAATTGAGCAGGTTTTTTTATTTCTTCCACAACCCATCCTCCCTCCAGGGAGCCAGCTGCTGTTAATGGGTTATTGAGTGTCACTGCATGACTGATAAAAATGATAGCATCCCATTGTGAGATGCTCTGCCCGGTGGAGGAGCCAAGCGTTGCAAATTAGATATAATCTGAAATCTGGAAGACCACAGTTAGCCTTTTCCACTACATTCCCAGAGGAACAGCAGCCTTTTCTACTGAATTCCCAGAGGAACACTAGGCCCATCTACACCACCACTGGATCTTCAGAGGAAAGCTACATCTTTCTACAGGATCACTGCTTCAACAGAACCACATCTGTAACTCCAAGAGGACTGTAGCCACCATTTCAATTAGGCTGCTATCAAGACCCTGACCCACAGGGTGTCAGGTCCTATTCTGACTCTGTCAGTGTTGTTTTGTATTACTGCATTATTTTATTTCCTTTCCTAATAACAAAATGTTATTCCTGCTCCCATATCTTTATCTGAGGCTCCTAAATTTCAAATTTATAACAATTGGGAGGGAGGGGTGTTGTGGTGTGTTTTGCTTTGAATCCATGTTTGCCCCCGTTCCCCTCCCTAATCCCCTCCTTTTCCCAGTTGCCTATTTGCCAAAGCCCTTCCCTAACCTCCTCCATGGTGCGCGCTGCGACAGTCAACAGCGGCTGAACGTGAGGCCAGGAGTGCTCAGGCCAAGAAGGTCAACAGCCTGCAACAGCCAAGGTGTGGCCAGCAGGAGCAGGGAGGTGATTCTTGTGCTGAGCTTAGCGCTAGTGAAGCAGCACTTTAAGTTCTGCGTGCAGTTCTGGGCCACTCAGTTCAGGAAGGACATTTTGGTGCTGAATTAGTCCAGAGAAGAGCAATGAAGCTGGTGAAGGATCTGGAGCAGGTGTCTGATAAGGAGCAGCTGAGGGAGCTGGGGGGGCTCAGCCTGGAAAAAAGGAGGCTCAAGAGAGGACCTTCTTGGTCTTCACAACTTGCTGACAAGAGGGTGGAACCAGGTGTGGGTTAGGCTTTTCTTCGTGGCAGCCAGCAACAGGACAAGAGTGTGGCAGCAGCTCTCTCCACAGGCAGCTGCAGGCACAACTTTCCCAGGCATTGTCTTGGGGAAGGCTGTGAGAAGATCAGAGAAAAGAATGAGAAACAATTCTTATCGTCACTCACTGCACCTGCTGTTGTGAACATGTGGAATGTGTTATGGAGACTTGTTTACCAAAGGGCGATTTCTTAATTGGCCAGTGGTGATGGATTTCAAGGACCCAGTAGGTCAAACTTTATCAGACTGTCTGTAAGGGCAGTGAGTTCCTTAATAGGTATACTATAGTATAGTATAATAAAGTGATTGATCAGCCTTCTGGAATCATGGAGTTGTGAGAGACGGTCCAAAGTTTCCTTTGTTTGCCTCACAACCGTCGCAAGGACCTGAAGACCACTGGCAGGAGTTCTGGCCTTGCTGAGGTGGATGTGGACACTTGCCAAGTGATTGTTTGCAGGTGTGCTCACTGTGCTTCTACAGAATGCTGCATTTGAGCAGGTTGTGACAAGTGGTGGCTTGTCCCTGCATGCCTCAGACCAATGGGCTCTTCACAATGGCCCATCAATTTTGCCCACCTTCTGGCCAGATGCCACTCACTTTGGCTAAAGACTATATAAACTGTAACTTGTGGGAAGACTTTGGTGCACCCCCACGGACAATGGCAAATTTATATGGCTGGACCACTGAGGATCTCATCTCAACGGTGGGAGCTATATTCCCCTTCCCCTCTTTTCTCTCTATTCTTTATTTCTCTTTTCTGTCCCCTCTATTGCATTTGCTGTTGGTACCTAAATAAAGGTGCATTTGTTGTGATTAAACTGATAGTCCCCTGCTGTTTGTCTTTTTGCACTTTTGGGATTGGTTAACGAATCATCACGACAACCCCACACGAGCAGATTGTGACAGGAGTCAATGCTAATTATTACCCAGTAGGGACCCATGCTATGATACAAGAGGACACTCTCAAGCTGCACTAGGAGAAGTTTACATTGCACATTAGGAAGAATTTCTTCACAGAAAAGGTGATTAGACACTGGGATGGGCTGTCCAGGGAGGTGTTGGAGTCACTGTTCCTGAAGGTGTTTAAGAAAAGACTGGATGTGGTGCTCAATGCTCTGGTCTAGGGGATTTGGTGGTGCTTGATCATAGGTTGGACTTGGTGGTCTCAGAGGTCTTTTTCAAACTTAATGATTTCTGTTATCAATGGGTTGATAAATAACTGACTTCTGAGAATCCTTTGTGATCTTGTGAAGTATTTATGCACAGGAGTCTATGCTGTACTTCACCTGTTGGCCTTAATTGTTATGGTTTTTTTTTCCTTGTGATAATATTGTATATAAGGGCAGTACTCAAATGTCTTGAAAGTTTTTTTCTTTTTCCTTTCAATATATTAGCAGGTGTGCTCCACTAAAACAAAGGGAGGGCTGTTGTGGAATGCTGCAGTGCCCAGCTCAGGGAGCTGTGGCAAGCTGCAGGTTGTGCTCAGAGTGGGGGGAATGGCCAGAGTCCCCAGCAAGGGGCTGGGACCTGGCACTGATCCTATGCCTGACCAAGGGCTTGGGGCCCTAGGGAGCCAGATGAGGGGTGGGCAGTCACCCTGGGGTTCTGCAGGAGCCAGGAATAGGAGCCAGGCTAAACATCAGCATCAGGATGGGCACAGCCCAGAGGGGCTTTGTCTGAGATCCCTCCCCAGGGGCACCAGCTGGAGCTGTTCTGTGTCACTGCTCCACAGAGGAACTGGGGTCAGGGACTGTGCTGTGGGAAACCTGGAGCTGAGCTGGTGAGAGGAGCTGGTCTGACTGGGGGACTGGGGTGTGTGGGGAGTCACACAGGACCTGTGGGGTCACTGGAGCCACTGCTGCAAAGGGGCTTTGATCCCAGCAGTGCCAGTCTGGGGTGGTGCCAGTGGGAGCCCCAGAACAGGATCTGAATGGTCTGACAGGGGAGTTTCCTTATCAGTTTGCTGACCCAGGAGGGACCTCAGGTCACTGCCCTGGAAGCTTGATGGCCTGTGTCCAATTTGAGGACATGTGGAAGGTTCTGCAATTGCATTACCCCATCAGTGACACACGTCTGGTTTCGGTGAAATGACATTGATTCCCCAATGCAAAACATACCACGAGCTGAAGTTACTCCTTCAGCAATTGCTGCCTGTCACAGAGGAAAAACTGGCCCAAACCATTGCTAGACCACGTTTTTCCTAGACTGCAGGTTCTATGAAATTTTGGCTTTTCTTCCCTGCTGCATCAATTGCCTGATATGCAACAGGGATACCTAAATACCTTGGCAGTGGGATTGCAGTGTGCTTGCAGCATGCTGGTTCTCACCCATTCTCAGAGCCTGGGTCATTGACAGCCTGGGTGTCACCCAGCCAAGCTGTCAGAGGCTGCTGCCTCTTCGCCTGCCCCCACTAATTTATTAGCACTTATTTTTTTGGAAATGAGACCCCTTGGATACCATGGTCCCACCTGTCCAATGTGTTCACATGTCTGGGGGAAACTGGGAGCAGCTCAGTGCCACAGAGCCTGAATCTGTCCCTACCCCAACATTGCTCCCACTTTGAGCATCTCCCAAGGCCAGTAAAAATAAGTCCAAAGCCAGAGCTTTTTCCTCACCATTGTCTCAGTCTTGCTGCTGCTCCCTCTGTGATACTGCAGACACACTAATCCTTTAGCTGGATAAACACTCCTCCAGGGAAGTAGGGCAGACCCGTCGTGAAGAGCACAACCCAGGAGAGAAATGCGTGATGAGCAGAGACACTTCTTTGCACATCACAGAGAGAGGGAGTCACCAGTTTCCCCGCTAGGGTTTGTCCAGGAACAACCAAAGATGTCAGTCCAGCAATGGGACACAAGTGTGCATAGGTTGTACGGGGTCAAGAGGAGGGGGCCACCAGGGCAGCAGGGACACCCTTGGGCTCCCGAGAGGCTCGGTGAGGCTGGTCCTGCAGCCTGGACAGCGCTTCCAGGATGAGCTGCTGCAACTCTGCCATCGGGAAGGTGAAGGATGTCCCACAAAACCGAGGCGAAGGGTGTCCCGCCGGCACTGCCCGAGTGGCCACAGCCTCTGGCTTTGGTCACCACTCCGCTCAGGAAACTGCCTAGAGCCGTGCCAGGAAAAAAAGGGGGAAATTATTTCCTTGAGCAATTGTGTCACCGTGAGGGCACGTATTTGCCAGAACAGCCTTTTCAGCTGGTGTTTAGCAGGAAGGTGGGGCCAAGAGCGCTGAGCGAAGCAAGGAGCAGCCCGAGGGGGAAGCAAGGGGGCTGGGGCTTGGGCTCCGGGCGGCAGCCGCGTGTCCTGGGGCGCTGCTGAAGGCGGCCCCCGCCGCGTTCCCCGGCTCCGGTGCTGCGCTGACCGCCGGGCCGGGCCGGGCCGGGCCGGATCTCCCGCCCGCCCAGAGCTGACACCACGACCCAGCGATCGGCGGTCACTCTCAAAAGGAGCGAAACCTGTCTCCCAGCGATCCCGCTCCAACCGGGAGGGCCCCATCCACCCGAGGGCCACCGTCCCTCCGGTGTAATAACCCCTCCCCGGACAGACTGCCCCGGCCCTCACACGAACCCCGGCCCCCACACGATCCCCGGCCCTCACACGAACCCCGGCCCCCACACGAACCCCGGCCCCCACACCCGGCCCCCACACGAACCGCAGCCCCCACACGAACCCCGGCCCCCACACGAACCGCAGCCCCCACACGAACCCCGGCCCCCACACGAACCCCGGCCCCCACACGCACCCCGGCCCTCACACGAGCCCCGGCCCCCACACGAGCCCCGGTCCCCACACGAACCCCGGCCCCACACGAACCGCAGCCCCCACACGAACCGCAGCCCCCACACGAGCCCCGGCCCCCACACGAACCCCGGCCCCCACACGAGCCCCGGTCCCCACACGAGCCCCGGCCCCCACACGGGCCCCGGCCCCCACACGAACCGCAGCCCCCACACGAACCCCGGCCCCCACACGAACCCCGCTCTCACACGAACCCCGGCCCCCACACGAACCGCAATCCCCACACGAACCCCGGCCCCCACACAAACCCGGCCCCACACGAGCCCCAGCCCCCACACGAACCCCGGCCCCCACACGAACCGCAGCCCTCACACGAGCCCCGGCCCCCACACGAGCCCCGGCCCCACACGAACCCCGGTCCCCACAGAGCCCCGGCCCCCACACGAACCCGGCCCCCACACGAACCCCGCCCCTCCCGCCGGCCCCGCCCCTCCCGCCGGCCCCGCCCCGCCCCGGCCCGCCCCGTCTCTCGGGGTCCCAGCTCGGGCACCCAAGCACCGCCCCCCCGCTGCCTCCCTTTGATTGGACAGCGCTCCCCGACAGTCGGGGAGTTCCCGTCGTTCATTGGCTGCTGCTGATAGGTCCGGTGCACCGCCCGCCTCCTGCGGTCTCTGGCGGGCGCTGATTGGGCCGTGCGGAGCGCCCCTCCCCGGTGGGCCGCGGTCGGTGCCGGGCAGGCAGAGGGTCGGCGCCGCCATCGCCATGGGCACCCGCGACGACGAGTACGACTATCTGTTCAAAGGTACGCGCTCATCAGGGCCGCGGCCGCCGCACCGCGCCGCTCTCGGCCGGGACCAGCGGTCCGCGCGGGCTCAGCGCGTCCGCCGCGGCCTTGGTGCGCTGGGCGGCCTTGTGGGCCCCCGGCCTGGTCTGGAGCCGGGGCAGCCCCGGGAGAGCCGCAAGGGCCTTCCCGCCCCGCCCCGCCCCGGCCCGGTCCGGTCCGGTCCGGTCCGCGTAGGCCGCGCGCCAGCAGCGGGGAGCGGCCGGGGCTGTGCCCGGGGCTGTGCCCGGCGCTGTGCCCGCGGTGCCCGTGGTTGTCCGGAGATCGCCCGGTGTCCAGTCGGAGCTGCAGAACCGTAAGCCTCGGTGGAGGCTCCTTCGCAGGTCTCCCCTGAGCGCCGGTACTGGGAACCTGGAACCGTAGCGATGTTAGCTGGTGGTGCTGGAGGGTGCTCGCCGCCCCTGCCCCTTCCTGTGGCGTGTCCAGGGCTCTTGTGAGGGCTCGGTGCTGCTCCTCCTGCGCTGGCTCCGGGGGATGTCATCCCGTGGGATGTCTTCGGGGTTTCTGTCCCGTGGGATGTTTCCCCAGGCCGGCCTCCCGCCTGGCCAGAGGCTCAAGCCGACCAATTTCCCGGAGCAGCCCACAGCTCTGCCTGTGAGGCCCGAGGAGCAGTGCAGGTGGGTGCAGCACCTTCATTTTTGGTTTCCCAGCCTGTTTTGCACCAGATCTACTGTTGGCAGAGTGGCTAAAACCTGATTTTTATCCCAAGAGTTCACTCTTGGGAGGGGCAGTGCTAACGGTGCCATTGGTGGTCTGTGAGGGCTCTGGGGGTCACTTGCTGCTGTGACAATTTCCCAGGCATTCGATGTTTTTCTACCCGGACACTCACAAGGGCAGCAGTGATTCTGAACTTGTGGACCAAAGAAAAGAACAGTTAGTCATCTGAGGGAAATAGTTTATAGATTTATTTGCGTATTTGCTTTATTTGTTTTACAGAATTGGGTTGAATTTTGAAGATAATGGGGAAAAAAAGCCCTTATTTCTTCTCTGCCTATAAAGCACATGACCAGCATGTAAAAATATACTAAACAGTCTGAGTCTAAAGTAGTTTCCTTTTGAAGTCTGTTTCCCAGGTGGTTTAATAGCCAGGAATCTGAAAGCTTAAAAATTGTACTTATTTTTTTCTCTCTCTGAATAGTCAGTTAGCTAGGGAGAATGCATTCATCTTTTAAAAATACTTGCTTTGAAATGCATTTTTAATATTATTTGGAATGAGACTCAACCTAAATCCATTTGGTCAGGACTTTTGCTGTGGTGGTTCACACTTTGTAGCACTTAATAAAAAAGCAGAGAAGGGTTTCTTTGTAGGTTTGATTATTTATCTTTTCCTTCTTCTGAGGCTTTTTGGGACTAGACAAAATTAATATAAATGGGACCAAGTGGGATGAGGGCTCTGCTATGGGACCAACTCTCCTGCCTTTTCTTTTTGCCTCCTTCAATAGTGGAATTAAACCTCAAGGACAGTTGCTGTAATGATGTCTAGGACTTTGGTTGGTTTGTGGTTTAGCCCCTTCTTAGCTACATAGATGACTTTTAAACTCTGTTCTGTCAGTCTGTGTACTAGTCAGAGGTGGAAGTAATGATGTTAGGGGATCTTAGTCTGGGAAGGTTTATTTTTATTAAATTTAACGCTTGACTGTTTCCCCTGCCACCTATTTCCAAAGGCCTATTTCCAAAGGACAGCATGTGGCAGGCAATGACTAACTTAAGGTTTAGGAGTGTTCTGGGAATGTGAGTGATTATAGTCAGATCTGCTCTGCTGAACTTAGTGCATCTTTGTTCCCAATTTCCCTTTTTGTTTCTGTGTGCATCCCAACAGAACTGCTTATTTTATTGATCACAACAAAATATTACTTGTTACCAAAGTGCCTGAGCTAGCCTTTGTGTGTGCAGGGTTGTGTGGGTTAGTGAGGCTGCAAAGAGCTTGTGGCTGTGCTCAGCGAAGTGACCCAAGTGAAGCCAGCAGTTCTGGCCTCTATTCCCAGTTAGTTTTGTAGCAGGGACTGTTCAGGATGTGTTTTGGATGCATTGATTTGGAATTGAATTTGTGACCTTTGAAGAGCTGTTAAAAATGTTGGAAGCTTTGTACCTACTAAATGTGATCCGCACATTAATTTTGCTCTTGAGAAGACTAGCTATTATCGGTGTTTATTTTAAAAATTAAATCTGCCTTTGTGCAGATGTGTGCTGGCTCATGGAAAGGGCAAGAAAAATCAGCCATAGGGAAAAAGAATTTTGTTTTACTTTTGTGGGAATTTAGACTGCTCTGATGAGTTTCCACATAACTAAGGCTGTGGTTACTAAAAACAAATGCATATCCTATTAGTCACCAATATCTGGCAACCTTATGTACTTCAGATTTATCACAAACTCTGCTTAGATGGTCTCTGCTAGAGGGAGTTTAATCTTCTTAATCACTCAAAAGTATATATTCTTTTTCCCAGATTAAGAAATGAGTGTATTTACAATTCTGTCATTAAGCTTGATATATTTATTTTCCCTTTCTTACCAATGATGTATGGCACCGGAATTCTGACTTCAGCTTGCTTTGTGCAAGGATCTCAATATACAGGGCAGATGTTTGGGGTGGGATTTTGTGGCACAATCCTGTGCTGTGCTTCTGGATGTTGTAGACACGGGAAGCAGAGTGAGGGTGGTGGCTGGGTTGATGGGTGGGTAATTTGGTGGTGATACATAACCGACACAGTGGCAGGGGGTGCTGAAGGAGAGAAAAAATCAGACAATACTGAAGGAGCAGGATTCAGGATATAAACAGGGCACTATGCAACAGGCTTGTCTATGTGCTTAGAGCCATCTGAAGGTGGCTGGTGTTGGTTATTGGCTTATGTCACTTCCAGGATCAAACCAGTGCATATTTTCATCACCAGTGTGGCCCTTAGGGGCATTTCAAGAGTGAGTTCCTCAGTTCTGGTGATGAGATGGGTTTAGAGAGTATTCATATTCCTAAGCTGTCATTTGGAACTTTTTTTCCTTCTCTGTCATGACTTCTGAATTTGAACAGGCAATACTGTGTGGTTTTCTGTTACCAAATTTAGAAACTTTCCCAAGATCTAATCACTTAGTCCAGAATGTTGAAGGTATCTTCTTGCTCAGCTCCTGTAGAAAATAAGTTTGTGGCTTCTCTCTGCATGTGGGGCCCCCAGTCTTGGCATCTTTCTCCTGAGTGTGAAACTGCCCTTTTAGTGCTCAAGATTGAGTATTAATAAGAAGCACATGGAAACTCTAGGAATGCTCTTTATTGAATTGGGATCTGGTTGCCTTCCTTTAACTTCTGAAAAATGCTCTCCTAGAAGCTCTGCTGGAATGTGGGGCAGCATGGTGAAGGGAGCCTGTGAATAACCAGCCAAAGGAGCGCAGGACCCCTGGAATTTTCTTCCAGTGACAGATGGAGTTAATGACCTGAGAGCCATTTGCATGGTTTATGCCCCTAATTGATACTTTTAAAATGCTAGAGCCTGGGAAAGGCTGTGCTTTCTCCAGGTGCAAAATCATGGGAAGATAACTTCCTTTGGAAAGCGTTGGAAGCCTCAGAGGTCTTCCAGTCTGGTTTAGCTTGTGTGGTGGATATTCTTACTTTTGGTTATGGTCAGGGCATTGCTGTAGGATAGAGCCTATTCCAGCCAGCGGATTCCTGTGCCAGATGGGTGACCTCCGCCTGTTCTTGGAAGGTCCCATGGAATTAGTGATGAAAAACTGTTTGTCTGAAAAATAAAGCTGACAAAATCCTAGAGTTAGAACTTGTAATAAAATCTTTTTTTTTTTTCTATCTGTTCTCATTCCTTAAAAAATCATTTAGGATTTTTGCCAGGGAAGGCAGAGCACTGTGAGGAGCTGACTTAAGTTCTCCCAGGTGGGGAGTTGTGGTGCTGGCTGCCCATTGCTGCCTGTGTTGTGTTTTGCGTGTTCAGCTGTGCTAGCACAATTGTCTGTCTGTGCTCTCAGGCAGAGGAGCTGCGCAGGGGCTCTCGGCACAATGCCCCTGTGCAGCTCAGGAGCTGCTGCAGCAGAGAGCTGGGGTCCAGCAGCAGCCTGGGAATGTGCTCCAGCAGTGGGGCGGCAACGAGCTGGAACAGGGCGCTGCCAGAGCTCCATCCTCAAACAATGGCCTGAGCAGAGAAAAGCTGTAGCAGCGCTAAAAGATAAGTATGATCCTTGGCCCTAGGAAAACCCTGGTGAGCTCATTCTGGAAGTGTGCAATTAGAAGGTTCTTCTGTAGTTGCTGGGAGGAGATTAGGAATGTTTTTTGCCCATGTCTGCTTTTCTGTAGGAAGAGCAGACCATATGAATGAGGAAGATCAGCAAATCTGTACTTAGAACTGGAGTAGGAAATATTCCCAAGGTTAAAGAAGCTCACAGAGGATGGCTGCCTTTCTTCCTTTTGCTTGAGCCATGACACTTGAATTCCAAAGGGTATGTGATAAGAGTGTTTTCGAGAGGAAGGGAGCATGGCTCAGCTGTTTCAACTGTGTTTTTCTCATTTGTTTCTTGCTCTCATCTGCAAGTCAAAAAGTAGAGGGAACCTCCTGCCGCGAGATGTACCTTTGTTTTCACAATTCCTTTCAGGAAAGCTGGGCTTTGTGTGCTGAAGAGCTCTCTGCACTTACATTTTTCTGTTATCATGGCAACACCATGTGTGGAGGCAGAGGTTTCTAGCTCATCTCTTACTTCTCATGCAGTCTCCTACAACTTGTTATGTTGGATGAAGTTCTGCTTTGCTTTGTATCTTTTTTTGTAGTACCAAATGTCTCCTGATTTTGCCCTTTTGTAGTGAACATATTCATTAATTAAATTATTAAAATGAAACACCCTATATGATTTCAACAGGGACTGCAAATAATTGTTTACTTACCAGTTTTTGTTTTTTTAAATAAAAATAGAGTACACTTACCCTGTACAAAGGCTTTTATTGGGCAGACAGGTGGCCTGTTGCCATGTTTTTGCCTGTAGTGTTTCTTAAAATGTGGGTTGTAGCCTTCCTGTGCCAAAGGTTGAGTGTGTGAGGGGCATGTCTTACCTCTGCCTGCTGCAGTGGCTGGGGCTTCCAAAACCCTGTTTGACTTTGACAGTTGCTGTAGCAATTTCTCATTTTCACCTCTGAGGACTGGGCAGCTACTCACCACAAAACAGCTTGGGGCTCTTCTGGGATTGGAGAAGCAAGCTGTGCATAGTAAAGACTGTGGTATTGTTTATGCTGTTTCTCCTGTGTTATCTGACTGTACATTTCTGTGGATGCTGCTTGCCAGGCTGCACTGTAGTGTGGGGTCAGTGCTGGTGTGAGAAATTAATTGTGAAATAATGTCTTTCCTTTCAGTTGTGTTGATTGGAGACTCCGGAGTTGGGAAAAGTAATCTTCTGTCACGTTTCACACGCAATGAGTTCAATCTGGAAAGTAAGAGCACCATTGGGGTGGAATTTGCCACCAGGAGCATCCAGGTGGATGGGAAGACGATAAAAGCCCAGATCTGGGATACTGCAGGCCAGGAGCGATACCGCGCCATTACCTCAGCGTGAGTACTCTGTCTGTGCTCAGCAGAATTCTAGCAGAGATGCTGCAGATAAATGCTTGGGTAGAAAGTGAAACATACTTGGCACACATGACAAAGTCATTGTGACAGACTTCAGTGTGGATCCAAGTCATAAGATAGCAAATTCTTTTGTGTTCCCTTGATTAATATAATAAAAGTACTTTTTAGATTCTCATGTTACTGTTATAGAAACAAATGGCAGCTTAAATCAAAACTGTGGGAAATTCTGTTTGAGTTTTGGAATTTGGTTTTTTGTCTGTGCTGAATGTGCTGTGTTCGTCATGTGGAGTGAGTGTCATTTCAGATGGAAGCTGGGTACTGTTGCTATCAAGTTTTGGTCTAGGCATGGTGGCTTACTGTAACACTCATGGCTTCTGGTCTCAATTTTGCCTCCTCAGTCTTGACATTTGAGGGTATTTTTAGGAAAACCTGCAGCCACAAGGTCCCTTGAAATCTCAATGACTTTGAATTAGTCACAGCCCTGAAAATTAGGTCCATGAGTGCAGACATTGAATAGCCTGGAAGTAGGAAGACAACAATGATAGTGCTGGCATAGGCATTAGGCATAATCCCTGAAGGTGAGAAGCTTTTTCACCTATGGCACCTTGTTAATCCACAGAGTGGCCTGAGGTGTATCTGTTTCTATGCTGGCAAAAGTATCTTGCAGAGGATAAAAAGCAAAGCCTTTGGTCAGGCCTGGTTTTCCAGAGCATTTTCTGATCAGTGAGTTGATTTTTTGTTATATTACAGATGTGTATCAGTTTTTAAAGGTAAAAACATGTTTCTGAGTCATGCACAGGTTGAGCCATTAAACTCAAGGTAAGGGGAATTTTGTCAAGATGGGAGAAAACCAGGAGGCCCTGAAGCCCAAAGGGAGCAGTTTATAGGGAAAGGGATGCATAAGCATCCCTTGACAATTTCAAATTGCATCTTTTCTGGAACTGTTAATGTGACTTTCAGAATTTTTTTTGTGACCCAACCCTTGCTCTTGCTGTAAAAACTGCTAGTCTAGTTTGGGTCAACAACAACAGGTTTTGCTGCTGGGAGCTAGTGCAGCTGCAGTCCTGTGATCCTGCCTCTCCTTTGTGCTTGGCACTAACTGCTGCTCCACACATCACTCAGCCAGTTCAGCCTGCTCGGCCAGCAGAACGCCAAACATCAGGGAAAAGAGAATGTTTTCTGCTGACTTGGTGTCCTGACTCAGTTCAACAACATGTCAGACAGGTGCTGGCAGAACTGAGGAGAAATTGTAGGATTGTGTGGAAGAGAGATACGGATGTTACTGGATTGCTGATACAGAGTGGCTTGTGCTGGGCTGAGCCCTTGGCTTGTGTTGAAATGGGCCCAAACCTGCGCTGAGGGGGAGAACTCTGTTCCTGTGGATATCCACTATCCTGGTGAACAGTGACAATATAGCCAGAGTCCCCTCTTTAATTTGTAGGATGGGCAGGAGATAGTTGAAGGATCAGGAACAAATAGTGATATTTTATTAAGGCCTATTTTCCTAGTAGAAAGGTAGGTTGTAACTTCACAAAAACCTCCCAGCTGTGCTGATTCTGCAATGATGAGTTTTCCTATGCACAGCTGGAGCAGACAGGCCATTTTCAGTCCTGGTTTCTGGAGGCTCTCCAGCATATTGTTACACACACTGGAGTTTCTTAGAAACGCTATTAGAACAAAACCCTGCATTTGGAACTTGGTTTTAGGCTTCAAAACCACTCCAGCAGCAGTATCTGCATCAGCACAACTTCTTCCAAATGGAGAGCATTAAAAAGCGCTAGATGGCCTGTTTGTTGGTGTGGCTGGGACAGAGCTCCCGATGAAGGGCTGTGCCTCATGGTTTCAGATATTACCGTGGTGCTGTCGGGGCCCTGCTTGTCTATGACATTGCCAAACACCTCACCTACGAGAACGTGGAGCGCTGGCTGAAGGAGCTGCGAGACCACGCTGACAACAACATCGTCATCATGCTGGTGGGCAACAAGAGCGACCTGCGCCACCTCCGCGCCGTGCCCACCGACGAGGCCAGGGCCTTTGCAGGTTTGGACTGCGCCTTGTTGTTTTAGGTTTTTTTTATACTGAAATATCTTGACTTATTAACTAGCATGTGTGGATTGTTTGGTTTTTTTTTTTGGAGAATTTTCTTTGCCATTTTTAGTTTGCAGTTTTCTGTTGTTTTTAAATCTAGTTGTGGTACATGTTTTTGAAACATTGTCCTTCAGCTGCCTGATAGCTGAAGAATAAACACTTCTTCTAACAAGGCTAGAAACAGTAAGCAATATTTAGAAGAGAAAATATCACAATAAAAATAAAAAAATATTGCAATACAAAATGTCCATCCTTCCCTCCTAGAGACCTGCTTCTACTGTGTAGGTATCAATGTGGACAGCTACAAATGAATGCTGAACCTTCTTTTAGTGGGTGGGCTGCTGCTCTAGAGCACTGATGCATGTAGTAGTGTCATCTAGTCTCACTTAAATGCAGCGGTCATCAGACTTGAGAATTATCATTTGTCGGGAGAAGTCAAGTGGGTTATGTAAGATGCTGCCACTACATTCCTTTTCGCTTCCTTACCTGGCAGAGTACTGGTCAGATATTCTTTTGTTCTGAAAGACCTGGAGACATTTATCTTTTGTGTGGCTGTCAAGCTTGGAGGTGGAATGTAAATGTACAACTTCTAAAATACCTCTAGAAATATTACCAAGGCTTGCTTATACACACTTTCTGAAGTTTGCTGGTAAGCAAGTACCCTGAGGATAATAAAGCCACTTTAAATTTTCAGATTAAGGAGTGACATTTATCTAAGAGAAGCAAAGCAAGTTGGTGGGTGCCCCAGATAGTCTCTTACTTTGGTCACTTGGTTCAGCTTCTTCCTTTTTGTCCCTGGACTTCCTCCTAAGGCTGTTTTAAATTGCTAGTGGTGGCCTAATTGTTGCTGTTTAAGCTCCATTACTGAAATTTGATACAGAACCATTCTAGGTATGATATTTGGGTGTTAATCACTTTCTTTTTTAGTAATAATAAAAAAAATTTGCATTGTAAGAGGAAAGAAGAAAAAAGACTCGTTTTCAGGGGTCATTGTTATTTGAAAGTGGGGTCTGATTAGGAAAGTATAGGTCTGTTGATCTTCTTGGGGTTGCATAGGAGAATTGTGTCTCTGTAGCAGCTGATGTGCTTTTGCTGGGGCTCTTGCTCAAGATACCTCTGGGTGTGATCTGTAGCCAGAAGAGAATGGTATTTTGTGGTGTTTGACTGAGCAAGGGCTGCAGTGAGGAAAATGTTCTTGCACTTTGGGCAAAGGAAATGTTGCTGAACTCCAGAGCCAAGGTGTTCCTTGTGCAACAAGGAAAAGAAAAAAATATTACTGTGCCCTAGCTGGTTTGGCCTAAAATAAAAGTTAAAAACCTCAACGTAAATATGAAATAAAGTATTATTAAAATTTTTAACTGAACTACTTATTTTTTACAGAAAAAAATAACTTATCTTTTATTGAAACATCTGCTCTGGACTCTACAAATGTAGAAGAAGCCTTCAAGAACATCCTTACAGGTATGGTTTGTTATGGATTCAGAGGAGCAGCTGAGGTGGTAGATCTTCTTCATGGGCACCTTTTGGAGTTTTCTGGGATGTTTTAGATGAGTATTGGGAACAATGGTTAGTTTGCAAGCTTTCTAATCTTACCTTTTGTGTTCTGCTTCCCACTCCATACATCCCTTTCTGTCCCAAGTGAGGGTTTCTGTCTCCTGGAGGTCTCTATCTCCTGATGTTCCATAAGTTCAAGCTATTGCAATAGCACTGTTGTAAAGGAATTAGTAACTGTGCTTTGGTGCCTGCACAAAATCTTGGCAGTGAAGCCCCCACCATGCTGGAAGTTAAATGTTGCAGTATCTTCTCTTGCACCAAAGCAGGCTGGTACCATTTTCAGACTACTGAACTCTTGTTCTCAGCTGATAGCAAAGGTGGTGACTGCCCTGCACCAACAGCATCTTCTGCAGAAAAGGACCTGGGGATTCTGATGGATATCAAGTTGACAGTGAGCCATGGGCCGGGACACCTCCCACTATCCCAGGCTGCTCCAAGCCCTGTCCAGCCTGGCCTTGGGCACTTCCAGGAATCCAGGGGCAGCCACAGCTGCTCTGGGTACCCTGTCCAGGGCCTTCCCACCCTCACAGCAAAGAATTTCTTCCCACTATCCCATCTAACCCTGTTCCTCTGGCAGTGGAAAAACATTCCACTTGTTCTGTACCTCCAGGTCCTTGTCCAAAGTCCCTTTCCAGCTCCCT